GCACAAATCTTATAAAAGTTAAAGCAATCTAATATTTTTTTATACAGAAAAAAAATTGCTTTATTCAGGTATTCAAAATGATTTGGTCAAATTCATATATTTTGTTATAGATCAGTATTCATGTTCATATTTATACTAACAACAATCATTCCTGCATTTAGAGAGGTGATGCATTTAAGGAGGTTGCATTTAGGGGGTCTGGCTGTACGTACGTACGTACGTCTATAATCGTAGATCTAACACCTAATCTGTTTATAATAAGTATGCAGTGTTGGAAATCTTAAGTTCTCATGAGAACATACCTTTAGATTTGAGAACATTTGATATTTTGTAAATGTTCTCTATGAAAAAAAAAAATTTGAGAACATAATACATGAAATATATGTTCTCTATACAAGTGTAATATATACGTATAATAGCATAATGTTAGAAGGAATAAATCGAAATCATCCGAAAAGAGGATGAATGAACATAAAAGACAAGAAGTGTTGGGACAAAAATGTTCGATATTTTCTGAAATAAGAAATTTAAAAATAGGCCTATAAATAAATTTACTGTTGAGAACATAAATAAATTTATTCTCATGAGAACATAAATCTCAAACCCGATTTCCAACACTGCATGCATGTCAACCAGATCATTTATGGTAGGCACTGTCCAAAAAAATAATATCGGAGCGGGCCTATTTCCGAAAGTTAGCAAAACCGATACAAAAAAATCGATTTTTTTTTTTTAGCAAAAGCAGAATATATTTTTGCATTGAAAATATAAATTATTTTTTTATAGATATTATTTATACATTTATACTTTCAGATAAATTAGATACTGTACGCACGTACGTACAATACATGTATATACATAATATGTACAATGGGTCGTAGTTTTACGAAAAATCAAGATTGATCGTGTATCTGTATACTTTACTTGATTATTTACTACGTTGGAACAAACTCTCACTGTTAAATATTATTGTAATTATTCAGAATGGAAACAGCTTGTTGCATGTATTAGTTGATTTAAATAATAAAAATGTATGATAAACTCAGCCAATGACGAAGAATTCAGTACGTAGTACGTACTCATTACTTTAATTGCTTTAATTGTGATATTCATTAATGCACTTAATCAATGAAATTTATATTGATGATACATAAATAAAGAAAAAAAAATATATACAGTACGTATGTACTGTACGTACATACGTGCTTACCCTATAAAAAGCCCTACATATCATTATTTTTTAACTTGCCTTGTCTTGAAGTGAATTCTTATTAATATAAATAAAAAAATAAATAAAAAAATAAATTCAAAAAAAATAAAAAATGGTTCAAGAAAAGAGAGCCTGTAATCTGTTTTGGATTAAATTTACCAAATATTGGTTTCCACCTGCAGATGATGATTATAAGAATTATGATCCACCTAGGGAACCATCATGTTATCGTTGGACAAGATTCTTTTCTCTTCTTCTTATTTATATTATGATAATTTATTTCATTATCGTTTTCATTTTGAGTTTCACTGATACACCGTTTTTACAAATGTATCGATCGAACGTCAAGAATATACCAATTCCTGGTAAAATATTAATTTAAACAATCTTTTAATAACTGACTTTTCTAATCTATTAACCTTTTAATTATAATTGGCAGCCCTCCTTTTGTTTTTCAATTCAACGATTTATTCCAATTATAATATTAACTGTTTTTATATATGTAAGCACCTTAATAAATTTGTATTCATATTCATTTTATTATTTCATTAATTTAGTCTCAAAATTTTCATAGATTCTTCTGGCGCCACCTCCTCCTGTAATAGCCAATTGTCCAATACCACTGAATCCGGTTATAATCTTTTTCTTTATTATGACCAAGGTGCCAATTATACTGATGGAACTTTTTTGGACATGCCCACTGGTGTTAATTTCCAAATTTCCGCAAATAATTCATTCCCAAATGATACATTTCCGACATTGTCATCATACCCACTCATGGTATTCATTGATCAAGATTTAGCTACTAGTTTTTTTAGTAACCCTGGATCAAAGTTCTCTGATGTTTTTATAGCTGATCTCAATAATGTATACGTGCTTTCACCGTACCAGGTAACAAAGAATTTAATATTTCATTGATTATCTCAACAATTTTATTAAATATTTTTATTCAAAAAAATTAATTTTCAAAAAAATTAACATAATTTTTTTATTTTTAAAATATTACATGCATATATTAATTGTAGAGACAAGTTTTATGGTTTGATCGAGTTCAACATACACAACTTGATGCAGCTTCAAAGAGAGGCGTTTTATCTATTGCAAAAAAATCAAAAAACCTTGCGTTTAGTTTTTTCGAGCTTTCAACAAGGATCCGTAAGCAAATCAATTTTCATTTTACGTATCTGCGGATTTATCCATGATATTTGTGTTACATTGACATCTATAAATTTGTATTTTTAATTAGAATCTCTTAGTCCGCTAAACCCGCTGAGTATTAATCCATCTCAATTTACGGCTACTTTGGAAATGTATAATCAATCATCAACCTTAACTGCTTATAAGGAAACAGAGTAAGTTCATTATTCATTGTGGTTGATATTTATATTTATTTTATTTTATTTTATTTTACTTTATTTTATTTTATAATTTTAATTTGTTCAAAGTAAATTTTTGCAATTGATAATGTCAAAATGTATATAATCTGAAAATTATATACTAAAATAAATTTTTTCATCCTTTTTATTAATCAATCTTTTAGTAAAGCATCCCAATTCAAGGTTCTTACATTCTTTACCTCACTTGGTGGAGCAAATGCGTTCTTCGTGACTCTTTATTTGTTCTTGTATGGTAAAAAAGGCCCAGGCATGTTACCATATCTCATTTATCCGTTTTTGTGCTGTGCAGGCCCGGCAAGATATATACGTGATAGATTTATAGATCAACCTCCGCATATGAAAGACGTGGAAAAGGAATTGGATATCCCTTAATGGTGTAGACGTCATTGTGTCGCTAATTTGCATTTTATATTAAAAAAATGGGTTTCCATAGCTTATTTATATTGTCGTAATTAAGTTACAGTAATCCTCCTGTACCAATTATTCTAACTCATGAAATCGGTCATCATAAATGTTAAGAATAGTTTATTCAATGCCACACTGTATCGTACTTTTAGCAATTAAGTATTTTAGAATACTGTATACTTATGTACAATTTCATAATATAATAGATGAACTTAAAAATTTATTAGATTATTATACACCAAATAATATCAAGTTTGCAAGGAATAATTGATTTGAA